GGCCTGTACCCCAGTTCTGTATGCATAAATAAATAAATCTTTAAAAAAATAAAATAAAGAAGAAAGAAAAAATTCATTGTTTATCTGAAATTCTAACTTAATAGCATGTCCTATATTTTTCATTTGGATGAGTCTTTATAACTAGCACTGCTTTGATCAGACATCTCATAAAAAGAGCTGAGAATTCAGATTCTGTGGTGCTGAGGGGAAAACAAGAAAAATTATTTCCAGTGAAATACAAAAAAGAAAGGTTTGAAATTAATGAATTATATGAATATTAAGCCTTACAGTACATTAAACTATAAAGCTGGTATAAGGCATTAAATTAACTTTACACTGCTCACCATTTTCTATGACATAAAAATAAAGAACTGAAGGAAACCCGGTATGATACCTCACATATGATATTTAATAAATATCTTTTCATTGATGATGCAAGGCAAGCTATTTGCATTTCAGAAATCTGAATAGTTTAGATACAGGCAGGAAAGCAGCTGGCTTGATGAGCAAATAATTAAAAGTAATAACTTGGGACTATCTTTTCCTTGAATTAACTGCCAGTAGTAAAGAGAAATCACATTTATAGAATATAATAGAGAAAAGGTTTCAAGAATACCAATGCAGTAAGCACTCTCACAGGGAGACCTCAGCCAAAGGAAATAACACTAGTGTTAATCCATATTGCTGGGGACTGAATGAAAATCCCTGCACTCATGCAGCTTGTTGGAATGGCACATCCCTTTGGTTTAAAGTCAAAATATTCTGTAAAGAAAATAATTTGTACTGTGAAAGCTGCAATGGGGTTCATTAAGCTATGTAATATATTTTTTATTCATCAAGCCTCAGATCCTTGCCAGATGCTTACTAAACATACTAAGAAACTGTGGAATTTTGTTAAGGTAACCTTTTACAAATGGGCTTCGTCATAAGTTAATTTACTAATCTAGTAAAGGAAAAAAAAATCTAAGTAAATTACCTGCTAAAATCTTCTCTCATTTATCAAATACATAACACAAATATACCCTCATCACAAAAAAATACCTTTCCAGTTGCCTTGGGTTGTCATAAAGTATTTCCTAAAATCACTGAAATGCAGTTTACATCAAAAAATGTTGCCACTTAATTTAATGTTTTAGAAATAATCTTCCTCTAGACCACAGGCATTAAAATTCATTTGGAAATAATAAATAATAAAAATGATTTACAACTATAGTTCTCAATCTTTAAAAACCATGACTCGTTTTATGTAAAGGCAACAACTGATAACATTTTTCATTACCAGAAAATATTCCTTGAAACAGAGTGATGAGTAGAGATTCTTCTCCCACTCCTCCAGCTAGACCCACTACTTGGTACATACTAATAGTACTTTGTTAATTCTCAATACTATATAAATTCTTTGGCTGAAGCCTCAAATATGTGACTGACAGAATTACTTTTTCTGTATGTTCGGAAGGATCAAAATAATAAACTGAATTTTTTAACAACCAAAAACATGTCACCAGTGAAGAAAACTACCACTACTATTGCTCTTGTTCTAAATTCTAATTTTAACATTCTGAGCCAGACACAAAACTTGTACAAAAATATTTTAGGACTCACTGGTTATTTTAGATGAGTGAAGGAAAGGCAGACTGAGGAGATAAATACGTATATGGATGGAGATACAGAGAGTGATAGTACTGGGGTTCTTTAGCGTAGAGCTCTGAACAGAAATATGAAAAAATGTGAAACACTGGACTATTTCCAGCCTGCTAGGTTATTAAATACTATAATTTTGCATATTTTACACACAAGTAAGCTTATTTTAAATAAAGTTAAATTCAGTAGAATTCCGATTTCTATTATAAAAGTAGAAGAACTGAAATTATTGGGGTAAAAGGACAGGAAATCCTTTATTGATTCAGTAGAAACTACTAACAGAGTTCAACAGAGTTTAGTTTTTCTAATCCTCACCCCCTTGGCTCAGTGGTGCTAAAGATTTCAAGGAAGTAACCACAACATAGAAAGTAATTTCAAATTCCAGGAGTTATAGAATGATAAATTAAATACAAATTCTCTTTAGATTTTAAAACCATTTTTCTCAAGATTTTTGTCAAACAGCTAATGTTAACGATTCAAATAGAGTTGAGAAATAATCTGTAAGGCAATGACATGTCTATCTACATGTAGCATATAGAATGACCTATGAAACCCTACACATTTTATGAAGCAACTAACAAAAGAGATACAGAAAGGCAAATAAATAATCAAAAGACTCCTTTTTTTTGTAGAAAACACCTGATTTTAGCCTTTGGTAGTTTTCTTAAAATATTTTAAAAAATATTTTCTACAATAAAGTAACATGTAGAGTATGTTTGGTACTACACAAAATACCCCCATGTGATATGCAATATATCTTGATAGGCTTCTTGCATTCCATTTATATTTACTGGGGGGAAAAAAAATCACACACAAAAATAATCACTTCCTCTTTGTCCTACACATAGGACATTGTACCTCTACTTCATTTCACCTCTGAGCAGTAATTATTAGAGACGTGATTTCAGGGTTTCTTTGTTAAAATTAGTTGAAATGTTAAGGACAGAAAGTCTGAGTAATCACATCTCACCACCAACAAAAAACATGAGAAAGTTTCACTGTCATATCTTCCCTAACAAAAAGAGAAATGATCAGTGTGTATATATTTTTGAGATGTATAGATTTGACCCTTTTCTGGGGAAGAAAAAATTGGATCAAGTTGATAGCAGTAGTGAAGGAAATTTAGATCTGAGAAATCGGAAATTAATATTCCAGAAACACTGAAATTTAGTTACAGTAGGAAAAGCAGTCTGATGTAACAGAAATACCTTATTCAAGTTAGGTGAAAAATCACATCCTTCAGAAAACTTTAGAAACAACCATTGGCCAGGAATAATTTATGTTGTTCCAGAAGGAAGAAATATTGCTTTTTCCTCCCATTACACTACTAATGTAATATGCACGTGGAAGTTGGATAAATAAAACAAACTGGTGACACAGAAAACTTTTATGCTAGCAAGGCTACCTCAGATAGATGATGCTAACACAAGATGGTTCTGAAAAAATAAGAGAATGAGTAAATGAAAAGTCCTTTTTTTAATGACTGCCCCCCTTTATTGTTCATCCACTGTCCAGATTGTTACTTTTAACATGTATTATTAATTTTAAAGGCTTCATTTATTTTATTTTCAATTTTCATAATAATCAGCAAGATAGGTATTATTAAACCTATACTGTTGAAAAGAAAATGGAGATCAGAACTGTTATAGGCCACTGAAGTTGCCGAGCTTTATTTGACCCCATACTGCCTCTGTGATTCTTGGTGGGCTTGGGACTTAGACTCTGGACTTATTACCAAGCAAAGCCAATACTTATTCAGAGAAAGAAGAACACTTAAGAAATATTAGGGATGGAGTCTGTCTCCCTTCTACCCAATGTCTACGTTGAAATTTTAATATCCACTAATGTGACTGTATTTGGAAATAAGGCCTTTAGGAATGTAATTAAGTTCAAATGAGGCCATTAGAGGGTGGGCTCTAATTCAGTCTGAGTGATATCCTTGTAAAAAGAGGAAATACGGATGTCCAGAGACACCAGGATCACACCCAAAAAGGAAAGACCATGTGAGGATACTGTAAAAGGGAAGTTATTTATAAGCACGGAAGAGAAGTCCTCAGGATGAAATCAACACCAAGGACACCCTGAGTTTGGACTTCTCCAAAAGTATGAAAAAATAAATTCTGATGGTTATTAGCAAATTACTAATGAAGAGAAGAAATTATGTACGTAGGTTGTAAAGGTAACAGCTCATTTGTTGTTCAAAACTGGACTGAGGATTGTTACAGGGATTGGCCTTGTTAGCAAGGCAGGAAAAGTGTTTCATCCCTAGGGGTACTGAAGGCTTGTGGCTATGTCTGCCAGGTATACTCCTTCTGGACTATGCCACATTGACCTTTATTCTCTCTCTCACAGAAGCATGGCTTTAATGTCCCTGGAATGCCAACATACATGCCCTAACAAGCAAGGTACATGATAAATTAAAAGTATTTCAAGACATGGCCCTGTGATGTTACCTCAGATGTTGCTAGAATAACATGACATTTATAAAAATACAGCCCACTGGGTATTTGGCACTTCTTGGGAATGAAGAATATGTCCACTTAAGAGCCAATATCCCAGGCTGTCAAAAAACAAAAACAAAAACAAAAAACCTTAAGCCACAGGATTTCTTTTATAAGCATTACCTATCTTTTAAAATTCTACAGTCCAGGATGTGAAGAAAATATTTCTGCTCATTTTCAAATCTCCTTTTGTTTAAATGTTAAAAAAAAACAAAAACAAAAACACCAAACCACTAAAAGAACATGTTAAATGTTCAATTAAGGTGCATGGAGAGCACAGCTCTGTGAAATCTGGCAAAATGCCTCAATACTTCCAGCCTTGACCTGGGTCACCTCCACCCCAACACCCTCTAATCTTCCAAACACAATGTACACTGAAAGGAGGGATATATATATATATGTTCATTTTCAGATATTAATCACATAATGTTCCTGCTGACTCTCTTACCCACCTTATACTATACAGAATTTTAACCTGGGGAGGATAAACTCAACCCCAGTGCAGAGGCCAAGATGTGTAGTCACAGCCTCCTCCTCAAGCAAAGAACATTTGTCAGCTTCCCTAAAAGGCCAACTGTGATATATTTAAGTTTTCATCAGGCCTGGAGATTACTGGCTGTTATGTTCAGTCGAAACATCATGGTTCAACTGTCCTATAAACATCTGGTCCTCTGCTGAGAGCTGCTGGTCTAGCTTTACTTCTGGGCGCAGAGAGGATGCTATTTGAGAGCTGTGGGCTCAATGAGAACACTAGAAGCACAACTGACCCCTCTCTACTCCAGACCAGTGAGCATTCTAAAAAATAGGCACATTCACATGAACATAACAAGAGAGGGAGAAAGTCCAGATTTTCCTCACCGTGTGCCACCCAGCCATGTTTACACTGATCGCAAGTCCTCAGGTTAATCTTTCCCGGCTGAAAACACTCACACGTGCAGTTCACCAGTGTGCAGCGGATGGCCTGAAAAGTAAAAGAGGAAAAGAGGATCAGCATTTGTTCCAAGAACTGTTTTTCATGACCATTTTAATGAATAACATCCACTTCCTTGTTGGTTGGGCCTAAAAAACTTTAAAACTAAATTTTAATAACATCAAATATTCTCTCACTAAAATGTTTAAGAAAACAAAGCTCATTCACCAATAGTATGACACATGCCATTCACACATAAACTTTCAATTACAAATGAAGAGTGAGAAGAATAACAGATTGCATATTTTACAAGATGTTGCTGGACTTGTAATACTCTGGGATTCAAAAGAGAAAAAAACTGACTTTACTATACATTCCACTGAAGTGTCTCCACTAGGCAATAATGCAAAAAGTATATACTCCCATACAATAATGCTGAAAAGAAATACCTGTGAAGTAAAATGATTTACAAATATAATTATTAGAATATTATTTTCTACTGCTGAGTTTCACTTAAATTAAGGGTTAATTTTTCAGATACATGCTGAAAGACTTTCTCATTGGCACACCACACTTCTGATATTATCAATTCCTTGTTTTTCTCCCTTTGATATACTAATTCCAATTCCATCTGTATTTGAAGAATTTAAAAAACAAATTTCCCTTTATTTTAATGTTGATATAAGTAAATAAACATAAATATGTTTTAAGATCAGACTTAGCACACGGAAAGTCATTTATGTGGACATTTTGTATCTGGAACAATCTAACTGTAGCTCCTGAAAAATACACTCAAAATCTTTCATTTCTCTGAAAAAAATCATCTCACCAGTTTATATTATAAAGTAAATCCACAGGAAATTAGCATAAATGAAGTGTAACTTTTTATGGATTAAAACCTATCCTTAAGCATTGTGCTAAAACTGACCTATGCTCCTAAACTACAGTTATTAAATTTATCTCGACAGTTCTAATTTACATGGAAATTCTGAAGGCAGAAGGGATTTCGTCCAATCATTCACAGATTAACAATCTACTATAACTATGTGAACAGCCAGGAAAGGTCTCTGTACAGTTATAGATGCAATCAATGATTACTGATTTGGGAGTTGGGAGTGAGAGAGGAGGTACGGGACTACCTGAAACTGCAATTCTGTGCCTGAAATTTACACTCACACAGCTCCAGATGCTCTTATTCCTGGAACTATTTGGATTTTTATGTAAACCATTTCATCTGTAACATACTTGTAACAGACAGTATTTTAGATAATGTTAGCATAGTTGGGTCAAATTCCATTTACACAGAGTAAAACTAAATGGGTTTTTACTGTTCCTGATGCTTTAGGTCAGGCAAGTTTAAAATATGTTTCTTTCATTAATAAACACTAAATCTACAGGTCCCAATTTGGCTTCTGATGTTGGAGTCCTCAACATCGGAACTAACTTCTGATGTAAATTTTCTTACTTCACTTCTTTCCTAGATGTATTCCTCCACAACCATTCGGGAAATACTCAATTGCACAGCCTGCCTAATATTTTAGAGTGCTTCTTCCAGTGTAAACAACCTGATTGCATACTGAGAGGTTATGTGATTTAAAAAATAAGAACACCAAAGAAGATGTGTTAATGAACTCACAATTTAGTTGCTATGATCCAAAAAAAAAAAAAAGCAAAACAAACACAACAGTTTTTAAAAGGCACTGTTTCTACTCAATATTACTTTACAAGCTATTCAATTTTAAATTCAGATATTACAGCCATATTAGCAATGTTTATCTATCACAATAGACGTACATATTTTCAATCATTAATATTTGTGACAATTTTATAAAAACAGCTTAATTTTTCATCATGTTTATTAAAACACAAACTTTACTTAAAACTGCATTTAGGACCAGAACAATTAAGAAATATAGATTTGCTTTTTTATGCTTATGCATTCATTAGCTGAATCTCTCATTCACTTACTCTCAAATAGTTATTCAAACACTTTCTTCTCTTAAGTAACATTAACATAATACACATTTGGAAACTAAACTTTGAGATAATCATTCTTTTTTATGAATTATACTCTTTTTATACCTAAACATACAAACATTGGAACACCTCAACTTTTTGTATATAAACATTTAAAATATCCATTTTGTATTTCTATGAATTCCAGAAGGTCTATTTGTTTTAAAGTCAGACTTATATAGAATACATTTGTCCCTTAAGGGAGTTATATATCTATTTAAACAATATGGTCTAAATAAATATTTTGAGTAGCTTCAAAGGAAGTTTTACTCTAAATAACATTTTTGAAACGGTATAAAACTTTTGACAAACTATTTATTCGCAACAAAACAGAACCAACATGATCACTTGCCAACTCACCCACACTTAAAAAAATAAATTATCATGAAAGTATCAAAGCCAGTTAGGCCTCAAAAATGTACATGCTTTACAAGGAAACCGTTGCGAAGAGTAAAAATGGACAAGCTTTCATTTTTGTAAGCACATTAACTCTTCCTCCATTCAGCTGACATGAGTGCTTCCCACTCACTGCTGGGCCCTCTGTACTAGAGGAAATTCAGAGGTGATTGTGAGGTAGCAGAAAAGGGAAGCGAGGAAAAGACCTGACAGTTCAGATAGACTTTTCCCACTTATATACATGCAGGTGTCCCTAAGCAAGTCTCATTAGCAAGAGGTATCAAGTTCTCCATTTTCCAGGACCCTGCCTTGTAACTCATCCCTCAATTCTTACGTAATCAGTATTCCCAATAACAATGATTTTTCTTAAGCCTGTAATTTATTCCTTCTGCTTACCTGTACCATGGATTTCTTGCAATCAATACCCTTGCATCTGATAGCCACTTGTTTCTACTCCCTGACCACCAACTGTATTTTAATTTTGCAATTTGGATCCTTTCCTCACACGTTCTTGAAATGGTTTTCTGCAAGAAGAATGTTTTCCTCACAACTGACCCCCTTTTGTAGTCTCTTTGCCTTCTCAAACCTCAATGAAACATGAAAGAACTAACCTCTTTATGCTAGAGCTATAGAAACCAACTATCCTAGTTTTTCTGGCAGCGATTTTTCACTCTCTCCACTATGAATAAATGCGGGTATTTCCCATGGTCAGCTCCTCATTCTTTAATTTGGCCAGTTCATTCCCTTCTACAGCTTCAAAAGTCATTACTGCAAAACCATCACTCTGGAGCCAGGTTCTGTGTTAATGGCAAGAAATAGATGGCAGAGTCCTATGCTCAAGGATTTCAGTCTGTTAGCAGGCAGTGGGTGTAGAGGACAGACCCTAAAAACAGAAGGAAGCCTGTAAAACAGGCTTGAGACACACCCCTCTCCCTTTTATATCTGTAATCCTGTCTTCTACAAATGTAGGATGTACTTAAAACCACAAGTTGATCCCTATTATTATTATTTCCTAGATTTATTGGATATTTGTAATTTTTCAGGTAGTCTACTAAATATTTACAAACATTATCTCTCTTAATCCTCAGAAAATGCCAAGAAGTTGGTATTATTATTACTTTTACTTCACAAACAAGGAAACTAAGATAGAGATAATTAGATGTCTTGCCTCAAGTCAGCAAACAATAAAGTAAAAGCAATCAGACCAGGTCTGTGTAAGCATCCTACCTGATAGGAAATCTGAGTTGTAATCCCATACACAGTTAGGCAGTCATGAGGCAGAGCCCCGAATGTGTCCACAGTACACAAACTCCCACTCTTATCTCAGATTTCAACTCAAATTTTACGTTTATTTCCCGGGCAGCTGCCCTCAGTTCCTGATCAGAGCAAGTTCCCCATTAGTCTTCTATTTGACAAAAAACTTCAGTCATGAAACACAGTTGAGAAGATGATATTTAAATTATATTTACTTATAATTCATCAATTTTATCTAAATATTTTATTTATACATCTGTGCTATTATTTACTACCACCTGTCTTTCTTCCCCTCTAGAATCTAATCTCTCTGAGGGCAGGGCAATATAGCTGTTGGGTTATAATGCATACTGGCAAACAACAGGCATTAAAAAGGCATGAAACACATGATTCTGAGTTCCTTTCCCTATCTGCAAAACATCACAGCCAAAGACTTAAATGACAAAATGGTAATATTGCATATACCACTGTACCGTGGGATCCCAAAATGTCAAGATGCATGTTAACCTGGTTCTTAAGTGATGAGGTGAAATTCCTATTATTAGTCAAGTTGTCTGCAGTTACCAAAGAAACGGAAGAAAACACACAATGAAAAAATTTTAATTATAAGTAATCATGTTCAAAAGTATATAAAAACAAAGCAGGTTTAGTGAGTAACAATTTCATATTTGACTATTACACAAGAGAACATTTAAAAGTATTCTACCTGAATTACAAACCTCACTCAAATAATAAATTGTTATTGCTAAAAATGATTATTAACATAATATTCATTTAGTCCTCCTAGTTTCTATGTACAGTTAGGTGGCAAAATCTAAGTGTATAACCTAACTGGCTATAATGAGTACCAGTGACAAAGTACTTTTTCTCATTTTGAATAAGAAAACCTTTCTTAATGAATTTAATTTTCTACTTTGGAATCACATGCAGATATTACAAATATGTAAAAGTGGCCAAGCCTTCATGAGGACATAATGCGGCCCCTGTTAGTATTAACTCTTATTATTCATTACTGCATATGTTATTCATCTCTGAGCATACATACAAGCCCCAGAAGGAAAAATAAGCATGATGTCAAAGGTGAAATGAACCTTTTGACTGAATAGGACAACTGTCCTTCAAAGACATCTATCTTAAAAAATAAATGAAAACCTGAAACAGAAAATTATATGTAATGAATCTGGAAGATAATTATTCCAAGAGTATCACAGAATAGACTGTAGTAATTACAAAGCAACAGCGACCATGCATCATGGATGAAGAAGCTGCACTTGTGGTCATTTCCATGACCAACCAGACACATGGAGATGAAGAGGACTTCCACACACATCCACTTACTTTTTGTTTATGAGAATCCAAAGCAGTAACTCAAACATTATGACAAA